AAGCCCCTCTGAATATAAGCCCCCCATGTATAAGCCCAGGTGTGCCACATGTACTAACGCTCACCTCAATCCAAATGTAAGCCCCCCCCCCGTATATAATTCCCCCGAATATAAGTCCCCTAATTAATATAAGCCCAGTAATCGCTGCTTAATACATGTTTATTTCTTGTTTATGACTGATTTGTTTTATGTCTGACTTGTTTATTACTAACACAAAAATTATCGTCCATGTATATAAGCACCCCCGTATATAAGCCTCCCCCCTTGTATAAACCCATCAAAGATCGCTTATGAAAGTATATAAGCTCAGGGCTTATAGTCGGGGGTTCTAAATAGCAGTGTAACTGTTACATTTAACTCTATTTAAGGTGGTTCGCTACAGTTTATAGAAATGTTGAAAATGCGTAAACTAGATCACCTTTTTGAAGAGATGATGCTCTTTACAAATCGAAATTTGTATATTATATATACAGCGACAATCAAGCAGTCGAAAATTGGTCAGAAAAGTGACGTCGCCACTGTTGCTATGGCAACAATGACGATTCAAGATGGCCGATATTTTGGCTTTGAACGCATTTTACTTTAAAAAAAGGTCGGTTAGCCCCATTTTTTATTTCAGAAAACAACTTCTTATAGTGCAATGCACTATCTGACCAATTTTAAAAAAATTCTGTAATGCAAAAAAAAATTATTTCGAAAAACCATGTTTATAAATTTTTTTTAAATTTGGCATTACAGAATTTTTTTTTTAAATTTGTCAGATAGTGTATTGCACTATAAGAAAATGTTTTCTGAAATAAAAAATGGGGGTAACCGATCTTTTTTTAAAGTAAAATGCGTTTAAAGCCAAAATATCGGCCATCTTGAATCGTCATTGTTGCCATAGCAACAGTGGTGACGTCACTTTTCTGACCAATTTTCGACTGTTTGATTGTCGCTGTATATATAATATACAAATTTCGATTTGTAAAGAGCATCATCTCTTCAAAAAGGTGATCTAGTTTACGCATTTTCAACATTTCTATAAACTGTAGCGAGCCACCTTAAACAGTCACAGTGTTTCTAATTTGTGTACCCTAACCCACCCAGTCTACTTGTCTATTAGTTTTATTTAAAGAGGCATTGTCAACGATACTTTGCGCGCTTTTAATTTTATTTACGTTGGCCGCCATTTTCTAGCTTGGTCGAGAAATTCAAGATAACGTTAAGCAGGCTTAGCCTCCTCCGCAGGCAACTCTTTGGAAAAAAATTTTGTATAACAGCGAATTTAAAGTTAGGGATTGTTAGGGATAAAGGGCTTATAATATTCACATTTTTGCCAATTTTTTTATTCATAATACTTTTGCCAAAGGCAAAGACATGCCTGCGGAGAAGGCAAATTTTGTCAAAAAGCGAATTTTGTCCCGCGAAGGACTGAATGCATTCTTTTGTCTTGTGAGCTCTCAGCTGCAACTAATGACAGATCTAATAATTTTTTGCAATTTTAATAAACAAAGAGCGTGCAAAGCATTGTAGTTCACAATTCCCTTTAACGATATGTCGTGAATACCCGAAGCTTATCAATAATATAAAATATGTGGCAAACAAATTGAAACGGGCTGTGGATATATTCAATTATAGGTTTGTACTGTTAGGTGTAGCGCTGGAATTCCACTAAATTCTAAAATGTCAACCGAATACGTACCCACAAAGATCGTCTGGCGAAGAAATAGTTAACAGTAAAGTTGTGGTTAACCCCACAAAACATGCACTAGGACATTCCATTACCATGCTTGTCGCGTTTAATATTAAACAGTAGTACCCAGAGTACGACAAAAATAGAAAATCATAATACAATGCACTCCATGGGTTAATCTTAATAGTTAATGATAAAAATCCTCAAATTCCAAAATGCATCTATACATTTCACATGATCTTATCTGATCCTATTCGCTGTAAGTTTATTTTTGAAACATTTAAGGAGACTTAGAGGAATTCCACAGAGTGTACTGCCACACCTATAAAAGATGCCATGTTACACGGTATAATTATAGTTGTCGCAACTTGTCTTGCAATTCTTCTTTAAATGCCAATACACCATTTTCGAATTACTCTTCATCGGCTGCAAACATATGGTGAAAACGAGGGTTCGTGCGAATTTGTAATGCATTTATATTAACTTTAGAACGAAGCCTCGACTCAGTATTATTGTTCTGGGCAACCTGAGCGTAACTCTGAAATGGTCTATTGAATAGTTTCATGCAACTGTGAAAAAAAAGTAGAAAAGTTGCTGTAAATATAAAAGGTACAACATGATTTTACGTTGCGATACAAATATTAGTATTATAACTCAGCATATGGTCTTGCCATTTCGCGTCAAATCCATAAAGACACAAGTTGTATCAACTATATAGTGTGACAATGGCTCATAAATATAGGATGCAAACTTCTCATACTGTAGGATTAATACCTTCATAAGCGTTTTATAGAGTACGTACAGTACTCCAAGAAAGCGAGCAGCGGTGGGTTGAGACCGAAAGATTTACATTGGTAACAGTGCAGGTGTCTATAGTGAAGGCAAATATCGATACTTATCCTGGGTGAAAAGGTCTATCATGGAGTTTTACATAGCACCATAGATAGCACTGAAGATACGATCAAATTGAATTAAATAAAACACAGTACAATGTCCATTTTTGTCAAAAAACTAGTGTGTCAAACGTGATAATAGCGCAAATTCCCAAACTCATGAACCATTCCAATCCAACTCATATCAACACAAATCCAACCTTAACCCTACAGACAACGATCCAATACAGTAGCACACACTCTCCACTGCACTGATATGAATAACTAGTCAAACAACATACTTTTAGCATTTCTACAAAAAATAAACCGTTAGAACGACAGAGTATATGAAATCATTACTGAGTGATTAGCAACCTCGTACCCAGGGCCATTTTAGTAAAGCAAAGGCTGTGGGTACGAGATTGAGTGATTAGCAAAACACAAAGAAAATCACCACCGTACCATTCTCTTCATACCTTGGTACAAATTCCATGCTTAGTTAAGTTAATTAACTAAACTTTCGCGTTGAATTTCTCTTTAAACTGCTTTTTTAAAAAGTATATCACACTCAAAATCGTTTAATTATATATATGGTCTCTCTCCTCCAACAGAGGTTTCCGTGACATCCGTGTTTCTTTCCAAAATTGAAAGGAAAAAACCCGAAGGAATCCTCTGCTAACTTTCGGTCGAGATCTGACTTAAATAAGGGGGTGACAATATGGTGGCATACACCCCCCCCCCCCCCCTTGTTGGGCTGTTTTAGTCAGATCTCGACCAAAAGTTAGCACCGGTTTCCTTCGTTTTTTCCCTTTCCAAAGTACGGAAAATACGGAAATTTATGGAAAGAAACACAGAAGTTACGGAAACCCCTGTTGAGGAGAACTGTTAATTTCAATCAACAGACACCACATACTGAGTAACATAGGCAACATTCTACCTGTTAAGCTAGATGTTTTGATATACCTCCATGATAAATCATTGTAATATAGAGTGAAAATAACTCTTGTAATTATATGCATGATAATGATAACAATATTTAATCAGGAAGCTCTTGTTATTTGACGTGATTTTCAAACAGCGGTCCTCGTCTAACTTGCGAAATAGAATGTTGCCTATATTGTCTTCACGGCCATGCTATTGATGCTAAAATCGTGTTAGATATTATAGTAAAAGTATAAAATCCCACTGACACGGAAATCTTAAAAACGAACGAGCACCCCTTGCGCATACTTTGGATTTGTATGATAAAATGATGACAAGTATATATATACCGTACATAAACAGTATACAGTGAGTAGGCACTAAATAATTATAAAATTTATAATAATGAATTTACAATTTACGATCCAAGAATTTATGATAATAATGTAACCTAAGGCGTTAGAGAAACTTGCCTACGACGGATAAGTTGTTCCCAAAAACCTGTCGACTAAGACTAAGTTTAAATAAGGATACGTTCCTCAGACTTATTCTGATATCTACATCACTTTACCACTCTGTGTTGGACGGAAAGCCTTAACAGGTTACAACCCAATTACAAAGGCATGCATGAGTTGATAAAGCCCACCGGCTTCTAGTACTACCGCGTTCAGTTATTTGCAGTAACGGGCTTAACTCAGTGGTAAGAGACAACGCGCTAAGCTGCTCGGCCACCGTGCTTCATACATGCAGACAAATATGTAGGTGGGCTTTTAGAACCAATTTGTCCGTCTGAGACGAGTTTCACCACTAATATGAATTCGGCTATCGAGTATTGTGAATAAATTAAGGCCCTTCCAGTAAATCATTCCAAGTCAAAGGGAGTATATGACTGAAAAATTTAGGATTCTGTCGTTCCATGGCCAAATACAGTCATATACATATTATTGTTTTCTCAAGTATCATTCACAATAAAAATTAATCAAAGTCAAAGTTCTATATAATATTCAATAAGTAAGTCCTTCCATGCAAGGATGGATTTATTGGGGAGGGGGGGGGGGG